AGTTAAAGAAGGTTTATATAAAAAAGTTTTATGCGTTTCTTAACTGTAATTTACAGGTTTGGTTTACAAGTCTGTGCGAGTGAGTTCAGGAACGTCAGAAACTGTTGCCGTTCTACTTTTTCCGTTTGAATGAAAGGAAAAAAAATGTAGAGAAGATTGTAGGTCCCGAGAAGCAACGTCAGTCAGTCACTTGCGTTTGCTTAGTAACTGTTAGTCAACCACGTTCCTGATGTAGAAGTGAATATATGAAAGATGATATATTTGAACTATCGCAGTTATATACACAACTTAAGCAGCTGTGAAATTAAAGCGTGAAAAAAATTCAGGCTTTAACGGGATTCGAACCCATGACCTCTGCGATAGCGCTGCAGTGTTCTACCAGCTAAGCTGTCAAGCCAGTTGGGAGCTTGTCACATTGTGAGTTCGTAATATACCCGTAGATGACGAAGAATAGAAAGGAATATATGAAAGAGCATATAGTTGAACTGCGGAGAAAGATATGAAGACTGATCATCGCAGTTATACACATAACTTAGGCAGTTGTGACATTAAAGCCTAAAAAAAATTCAGGCCTGAACGGGATTCGAATCCATGACCTCTGCGATACCGGTGCAGTGCTCTACCAACTGAGCTGTCAAACCATCTGGGAGCTGGTCACTTTGTGAGTTCGTAATATAGCCGTAGATAGCGTTTCAAGATTTAATGTCACAACTGTTTAAGTTGTGCATATAACAGCGATGATAACCATCTCTTCACGTTCCTGATGTTTAAAGTTTAGAACAAGAAACATTTTTATCGGCCAGTATATAATTTTCTGTGACTTATCCTGCACGTTAGACAGTATTCAATATGATTTCGATAAAATAAGTCACAGACAAGCCACAAAAAATAGGTTTATAACGGTACGTATAAAAGCTTAAGTAAACACACAAACCTGCCACGAGAAAATATTGTGAATTATACAGTCTGCCAGGTAAAAATCGTGCTAACCATCTCTTGATCCACTGACTTTTTACGACCTCATATGGTTTTTTAGATTTATAAATTCCTTTTCGTGAGTATTTAATGCCGTCTCCAGTGAGAAAAGTTGCCTGACTACAATACCTTTCATGTTAACTCACATTTGATGTCAGGACAGAACAGTTTTTCCTGCCGCCTGCTGAATTCTGATTGGCTACCGTTTTTTCAGCTGCGTCACTGAGTATTTTAGTAGTAGGTA